AGGAACTTAATATATAAATTAAATCCAGTTCATGTCATATACTCAGACACACAGTTAATTTACATACATAATACCAATGGATATTTTATAGCTTAATTGAAAACGACGCTAAATTAATTTGAGAAATTACTTTTATGAGGCCACGTGGAAAATAAAAAACGAAAAAAATCAGATGCCCTGTAAAAAAGTACCAATACTCGTTGAATTGCAGCTGAGAAGGGACGTCCCACTGAAGATATACATGTCAACAAGATTTACATTAGCAGAAATATACATTTTTCACATATTCATTCCTCACACATTCATGAATTCTAATATCCATACTAGCGACTGTTTGGCCATTAATATGTTATCAAAAATCATATCTAAGCTATCAATAACAGCAACAGGTTGACAATGTACATTTACACCGAACAAAATAAGATCTCAAAAGCTTCTGTCAAAAAACCAGTGGTCGGTCGATGGCAAAGACTTGGCTGCTTCATCTTGGCAAGCATATGGTTGCTTCACTGCAACAATAGAAAGATATGTTAGAATACATTTTTTTATAAGATAGTGATAAAATTATACTAAACCCCTTACCGTATGTTAGATTCGACCAAGAATGCAAAAAGCTTAACAAGTCACCCCCCAGCTTGCATCAAAAACCAAAAACAGAGACTTCAAAAATGCGTTCCTCCTGATACACTTTGATTTGTGTGCCTTTTTTTTCTGTGGCATTGACACTCTCGTACTACCTGATTCTGCGTCCCCCAGATCAACCATGTCATCTACGACATCTTCGAAGTTCACATCGTCGATCAGAACACGAACCGAATCTGGTTGAATGGGAACCATTGTTGCAGCAATAGATTTTAGGCCAGATGAACGTGGTTCACGAGACAGTGTCGGGGTTGGAATGAAGCAGAATGCTTGCTCGTTCCCATCATCTTAGCCCGACGGTACTCGCTATCCCCTCTCTGGAACCATTTTTCCCTACATAATGCAATAATTATGGTTATCAAATTGCTCATGCAATCCATAAAATATCACAACGGATATTGAGAACAAGAGTACTAACTCGATCGTCGACTAGTCTACAGCATTGTACGAAATCGGTTCTATAATACCGTCAAACCACTCCTGTCCACAAAAGGCAAAAGTTAGAATAAATTCAAACTATTATCACATCAGTGAAAGCATAATCGTACTAACAGAATCTGGAGCATCCGGCCTGGAGTGGTATCGCTTATTATGACCCCGCTTTCCGCATACTGAGCATGTCATCTTCAGACGTCCCTTTCTCCGAATATAGTTCTTCTGCGTGAATGCATTATCACGCCTTCATTCGCTCATTTTCTTCGATTTATTTGTCTTTTTCCCTTTCGCGGCATAACCCATGACGGTGGAGCGATGTCAAGCATATCCAACTGTGGCCACAAAGGCATACCATTGATCGGATGCATGATGCTACTATAATACCACATGTACATCTCAATCGTGTAGCAATTGTGGACAAAATCTTATGGATCATTTCTGCAATCCCTTATCACTGCAACTGCATACATGTAAGGTATGCCTGTAAGCTGCCACTCTCTACATGCACAGGTTCTTCCATGTAGATCGACAACATAAGTTCCAAAGCTGCATTCAACTTGCCATTCAAGACCACCTGAAAAGTGCAATGTGCATTCAAGTGATTTCTCAACATTCTTGACCAATTTTTTCTTGACCTTCGGACACAAGCTTCCTGTGCATCTCATCATCTTCTCTCGACGCTTTTGAATCCTATTCATGAAGGTTAGTTGCAGTGATGTCAACATCAACAAGATCATCTTTTCTCTATCACTCCTCAAAGTCTTGTTGAACACTTCGCACAGATTGTTAAGCAGAATGTCACACTTTGATTCATTTGAGAAATGTGATCTGCTCCATTCTTGTGGTCGTCGTTCCAAAAGCCATAGGTATGCCTCCTCACTTAGTTGACGGATTTGTTGAATCCAATGTCGATAGTCGGCAATAGTGGTGGACTTGGCAGCACGCCATAAATAATTCTTCATAATTTTACTCTTAAACCCAACATTAAAGAAGTTCGTGTACATATGTCGTACACAAAACCTATGCTCGGCCGCAGGGAACAACTTGTCTGTCACATTTTGTAACCCCTTTTGTCTGTCTGTCATTAGAGTCCATCCCATTCCATCTTCAATACTAATATCCTCAGAGAGATATGTTAAGAACCATCGCCAAGATGCAGTATTTTCTTTCTCACAACTGCATATGCAACATGATAGATGTAATCATTAGCGTCAATACCAACTGCAGTTAACATTATCCCTCTGGAAGAACCTCTTAAGTGACAGCCGTCAACACCTACCATCTTCCTACAACTATCTCGAAAACCTACCGTACAACAATTGAAGCACACGTGGATCCCCTTAAAGATTTGCTCCTGTAATGCAATAATAACTGTGGACCCAACATTTGTCCGTAGTACCTCGGCTGCATAAGACCGCAATTGCCTAAATTGCTCATGTAAATTTCCTACTAAAATTTCTTTAGCATATCTCCGCATTTTCCATGCCACATTTCTGCTAATGTCTGTGTGGAGATCCTTCTTCACTGTAGCCAAAATTAACTCGGTCTTCCACTTTAGGTCAGACTTGAATTGCTCTATATATCGACGGGTCAAGAAAATGTAATTACAGTGTCTATTAAATTGGTCCTGACTATAAGTATGCTCAGAAGTATAAGATTTTATTTGCATCCTCTCAGATGCATCCATTCTAGAAGCCCATATTCGCCATTGGCAACCCAATTTACAAATTCCTTGCACTCTTCTTTCATCATTTGCCTTGAACTTCACATTGTACCCGTTTAGTGCACCGTACATTCTCACCACCTCTCGAAACTCTGCTGCAGAATTGAATATTTGACCTGCCGCGAACTGAGGATTTCTCATGTCCTGATCAAAATTGAATCCAGGAAACCGATCACCACCATCATCGTCAAATGAACATTGGAAGAGTAGTTCATCTGACGACAGTAGTTCCAATTCATCCACCTCGGTACCATTGCACTCTTTCTGTTTGGGATGAACTTCATCTTGTCTACAGTCCAGTCCAATTTCAATCCCCTCAATTAAATTTCTATAATATTCGATGTCATCTTGTTCGGACTCAAAGTCGCGGTCGGAGTCAATGAAGTCTGGATCTTCCTTGCAATCTGTAGTACAATAGAACCACATTCAGCATGAATAAATGCAAATGGTCAAAATCATGTAACTTCATGAATGTATGTCTTTCGCATCGCAAATATGAACTGAAGAAAATAAAGATAAAGACAATGGTTATAACAAAATGGGATTAGGCTATGCCAACATGTTCGGCCAAGTGGGAATGGGACATTTTCATGTCATTAATTAAACATACATACTATTAAGGTAAAAATCCTGAAAACCTTCCTGTCATTCTGGGAAAACTATACTAATGCAGGATGTCATATGCTTCCATTTCTATTCTGCCTAGCTCATTAAAACTGCCATCAATAAAGCAATTTACATACAGAATCTGTACAAAGGACCATATGAATTTATCACTCACACACAAAATTAGGAACACGTGAAAAGAAAAAAAGTTTCCCCAGAAACAGAAATCCAAGAGATCTTCACTACAACATTACAACCCCTGACAACCGTGTCCATGAAATCTTCTGATGCCTAAAGCATAAAATCCAAAGAATCAAAGATTACCTTCGTGTTCGTCCATATAAGCGCCAGCGAGTACGCCGTCGAAGCACTGAAATGAGAAGGGTGCTGCTTTTTTCCGCAAGTATTTGGGTCGTTGAGTGGTTCAATTTAGTTGGATGGTTGATTTTCTAGATTTGGGGCTTAGGGTTTGGTTCACTTCCTTCTGTACTTCGTGTTTCTTGGAGATGGAAGAAATGGGCCAGTTAAACAAAAACGTCATTCAATGCGGGTTCTCAAAGGCGTGTTTGGGTATTCCAACGTGGATTTAACTGGCCACATGATTTTTCCATCTGCCACATCATTTCGGGAACTAACAGATTTCAGTGAAGTTCGGTGGCCACCGAGACAAGTTTCGAAGTTCGATGAGTAAGTCGAGATATTACGCAAAGTTCAGTGGCTACTGAAACATTTAACTCCAAGAATACTGTGAACCACAATAACCAGATGATCAACAAAAGCATTCGACTATTTACAACTATACACATCCTCTCCTCCGTTCTCGATGAACACACAAATTGATGGTCCAAAAAAAAAGAGAAAAATGAGGTACAAGAAAAACTGGATTTTAAAGTTACAATTTTACCCTTTTAATTTCGATGGAGTCTCAATTGAATTTGTTGGGAAGAAGATGAAGTGAGGTAGGGTGGGGTGAAAATTAAAGTTGTAAAAATTTGGGATTGTAGGTGACACATATAAAAATTTTGAATTTAGCTCTTATTTGAGCCATATTTTTTCATCAAAATATATTATTCAACAGTGATTTGATCTCACTTCAAACATATATTTTTCAATAAAATAATATTTCACGAAATTTTTTAATTTTTTAACCACATATTTTTCATCAATACACCATTCAAAAATGTATTTTTTGACAAGAATGAAACTCAAACAGGGCATAATTTGTGTGAAAAGAAAAAAGAAAAGTTCGGGTATTGAAATTACAATTATTCATTTATAATTTTGATATTTTTATTGTTTTTAATGATAAATTTGATGGATCTTGACGATTGAGGTTTTTTGGCATAAAAAGTCTCCAACAGGCAAATTTTTACAATTTTCAATATGTAGTGAATATATTGCACATGAAAACGTTTTTACGAGGGTTTTTCACTATTAATCATTTTCAAAAAATAAGCCACAAAAATGACGATATAACTAGCCTACGTGTAAACCGAGACGATGAGCTGTTCAACAAAGAGAGCGAGTAGTAATCTCTCATCGCAATAAAGCGCGTGGAGATCTCGCCTTATCAAAATGGGCCTCTACCGAGTCCTTCGTAACTGGCTCATATTCTCTTCTTCATAGGCTTTGCGTGTCAACTGCCCAAAATTTCATTTCTTTTCCCTTTGCCGAAGCAATCACTAAGATATGTATGTATATTGACAGATTATAAATTAATCTACAAAGAAAGAACAGGAAAACCCAGTTACTGAAACATCGGATTTTCTTCAAGGTATGTATATAGCCCTGTTTCATTGCCTATTCAACCGTGAATTGCTTATAAATGGATGTTTTAAGTAAATTGACGAAACAGTTACTGAAGATTGGATTTTCGAGAAGGGATTTATGTAATTATTCAATCTTGGATTCAGCACAAAATACATTACTGCATGTGAACGTATTGAATTGTGATTTGTTTTGTGTGATTATATTTGTCTGGAAGCGAAGATATAATTGAAGATATACTGAAGTATTGTGTATATATTCCATGGATCGAGACAATATTTAGAATCGTGGGTTGCTGATTAGTCTTATCATTGGTGTGCGTTCGATCATTTCCCCCGTGATTTGTGGAAGCGCGGGGCGTCGAAGAGATGTCTAGTTTTGTGGGAGTTATCGTGTCCGATCAATGGCTTCAGAGCCAGTTTACGCAAGTTGAACTTCGGAGCCTCAAATCCAAAGTAACTTCTGTTTAATCATTTTTTTGCTTATTTGTTTTTTGGTGCTATTGTTGAATCGTGCGATGAAATAAATTTGCTTTCGCAATGAGAATTTTGGAACTTGTTTTTGGGCTTTATTGTGTACTGAACTGATGTTTGAAGTGTTATTGTCATTGTCCTTGTCCTTGTTTTTGTTTTTAGTTCATATCTATAAAGAATCAGAATGGCAAAGTTACAGTTGGGGATTTACCACCTTTGATGGCAAAACTAAAGGCTTTCAGTGACAAGCTCAACGAGGAGGAGATCAGGAGAGTGTTGGAAGAATCAAATTCTGATTTTACTGATGAGATTGATTTTGAAGGCTTTCTCAAGGTAAGTTTTCATATATCCAGTGGATTATTGGCTAAACTATGCTATCTTTCTACAAAAAAAAAAAATGCATCTTCATGATATGAATATTGTAGAAGCGTGGTTCTAGCTGTACTATGACTGTGGTGGAGAGGATTGTAATGACAGTGATGAAAATTTATATTAACCTCTACTAGGATTCTGATGGGCTTTTGCTAACAACTTTTTTTGGCACTTTGGATGAGCAGATGTATTTGGATTTACAAAGTCGAGCTACTGCCAAAGGGGGGAATTCAAAATACTCGTCATCATTCCTTAAGGCCACTACAACCACCCTTCTTCACACTATCAATGACTCTGAGAAGGCATCATATGTTGCTCATATCAACAGCTACCTCAGAGATGACCCGTTTTTGAAGCAGTTCCTTCCCATCGATCCTTCTTCAAATGCTTTATTTGATCTTGCAAAAGATGGAGTCCTACTATGGTATTTATGGATGCTTCACGTTGTTCCATTTTTACATGCCTTGAATTTGAACACCCCCCCCCCCCCCCCCCCCCCCCCCCCCCCCGCCCAA